AAAAAAAAAAAAAACTGAAACGGAACTACTCTCGTTGATGCACACAGGCTAACGACAATTAAATCACGGTGCCATACAGAACAAATAATTCCCCCAACGAAGCTTTGACCACCAATGATCAATGAAGCCTAGGCTGCCTAGCCATTACTAATATGTCAAATAATATGCATATGCTATGATTCATTGACAAATATTTCACATGATCAATGAATTACTTGTCCACCAATGAAGCTTTACCGAATTCAAACCATTTACCGAATTCAAGCCACAAAATATTTCAAGTAAATATTAGTTGAAATAAATATGCTCATACAGCAACCATGAATATAATACGCAAATAATAATATGCTCATAATGTTTTGAATCCAGTCGCATATAATAACTATAAGGCGTACGCTATGCCGAGACAAAATTAATTAACCTTTATAAAACTTTAATTGGCAAGGTAATTATGCATAAACACATGCTCTGATACCACATGTAAGAAATTTAACGGGTATATCCATAACTATTAGGCGGAATTGAATAAACCCTAAGCATGTAATTCTATCAATTCATAGAACATGGATCTTTGCATAAATTAAATTGCACATAAAACTTACAAGAATCCAGCTATAGTCCTTCCCTGTTCATCTATGATGTTGATCTTTCTCCAATCTCCAATCCTCTTCCTCTAATCTCAAATGATGGATTTGTCTTTCCCTATGAATTGTTTCTCTCTCCCTCGTCTCTCGTCTTTCCATAAAGCCCTTGATGTTGAGAACTTTATTTCGTATGAGATGGAAGAGAGGGGCATGTAGTAATATATATAGGAGGAGACCTACAATCCTATTCCTACTAACATTCCCCATGTTCTAACCTAACTTATTGTCCAAGTCAAACATCACACATTGGACTCTTAATATTAGAACATTAAATAATCTATTAAATACATATTCATCTTAAATAAAGTTTGACTATTAATTCAATTAGGTCTAACTAATTATATGGTCCACAATAATTGAATAATATATAAAATATTATTACATTAATGCCCAACAACTCCCTCAAGTGATGAATGAAAACAAGCCACAAATTAATCAATTATATTTAGTAGATTTATTAATAAATTTGAATATTTATTTAATTAGGTAGCTATGTACGCACCACAGGGTGACCCTTGGTCACGAACATGAGTCACTGCGCTTTGTTTGTGCAGTCAACACTTTCAGGAAGGAGTAACTGAGTCAGAAATAACAGGCATTATGATGCTTAAGACGAGAGCCACTGAATAAGAAGACATATTGTATGGATTGGTACTGGACTATATTGTCTCCCTTTGGGGAAATTCTACTGTATGGTTTGATTTTTTGATATTATGTCATAATAATGCCTTAATTTTCAACATTTTCATTTGAGAGTTTTAATTTTAAGTTATTCTCAATTAAAGACTTACTTTTATATTTTAGTCTCAATTTAACGACACCAACTAACTTTATATTTTACAAAAATATATTAACTGAAATACTATTATTTTAGAATTTATATTTTGGATAATTATAAATATTTTTAGTAATAATTTATTTTTTGAAATAATTTATTTTGTAAAGTTATCACATATTTAGATTAAAATTAAGTTAAAATTTATTTTTTAACTTAAAAAAAAAATCATTAAGCTTTTGCATAAATGTAAATTATGAAATAATTATCTTATTAGGTAATTTACTAAGATATTTAATATTTTTGTTATAAGTACTTAAAAAATAATTTCAAAAAAGGTATTTTGGTTTACATAATTATGTCAAAATAGAAAGTAATTTGGAGTCTTAAATTTAAAAGTAGAATATAAAAGTATATCTTATATTGAGAAAAAGTTAAAAATGAAACCCTCATATGAAAAAGGTTGAAAATTCAGGTCTTATTGTGACACAATATCAAAAAGTCAAGCACTACAATAGAATTTTCTCATAAATACTGCCACGCAACTGACTAATTAGGGCGTAAAATATGGGATACAAATGGGTGTTGAAGGAGAAATTAAATTGTAAGTTCATTATTGTAAATAATCTAACATTCAATTCTTTATATATTTTATTTATGTCAAGAATAATAATAATTCTCAATATTTATCTCATGTAAACTTAATTTTCACATTTTTTTTTCTAAATTTTATGAAAAATACAAAATGATTGTTTATGGGATATTAAGTTTTATTAATTTATAAAAATTTGTATTAACATTTGATACTTTTCAATTATGCTTGATAATTGGATTTAATTTTATATATAACGATACATGAAATTAGTTTTTGTATGTTGAATATCAAATAGAATATCGTAAAAAAATATTAAGTTTATATATCATATGAAAAATAAAATATAAATAAAAATTTATAATTTTAAAAATAAGATGAATACATATATATGGTAATTAATATATGAATTATATAATTAAAAAAATAGTACATGACATTTTTTTTTAAAAAAAAAAAGTAAAGATAAAATGGGTTATGCTAATTCCCGAGAAAATGCAAATTAATTCAACGATCTAATTTATCAAGATACATACGAGGATTGTATCCATATAATTTTGCACTTCTCAACAAATATCATTTGTTTTTTATTCTAATCGCTTATTCTATTTTAGGGCATGAAAACCTTGTTATTCTTAACTATAATTTAAGTAATCGTTTTTTTCAAATATCAGTTTTCAATTTTCAATCACCAACGAGTAGATCTATAGGACATACACGAACTCATACTTCACAAGTAATGTTATCAAACGAAAAGTGGATTCGGCCCCGGAAGTTCAAATAAAATCTAGTTATCAAACGAAAGGTGAAGCCAAATCTAGTTACAGAGCATGGAATGTTATTATATAAAATCTTGAAGCGTGTGAGTCTGCCACGTAAAGTCAGCATATTAAAAAATTATATATAAGAGAATGCTAGCATTACACATTAACGTTATTGCTCTTAAATAATGTATATTTGGTGTAAATACTTGTCCATCAATGATGGGAAAAAAAAGGCCAAAATTGCAATTGAAACCCTTTTTTTTTGGACGATAAATACTGGGATTGATATCGGTTGAGTCTGGCTGAGTTTGCGCTTGTGACTCGACT